ATATGTCTCTCTCTCTCTCTCTCTCTCTCTCTCTCTCTCTCTCTCTCTCTCTTTTTGGGGGGGTAGTAGGAATCAAACTCAGGTCCCTGTGCTTGCCAGGCAGGCACTGCACCTCTGAGCTATATCCCAATTTTTTTTTTTAATAAAAGGATGCACTAACTGAATTCTAATCAATCAAAGTAGCTTCTCACCCTAAAGAATTCCATTCTCACAGTGTAATGAAAAAAGTTGTGCTCATTAATTATATTTTGAATTTTGACAAAGTTTTATGGAAAAATATCTTCTCTCATATAAGTATCTACAAAGTATCTTTGAACTTTCTAGTTGACCTGCAAACCTTAAAATACTTACTGTCCAGCCTGAACAGAAAAGAATTGCTGACCTCTGGTTTGTAACCCACAAATACAACCCAGAGACGCCTCTTGCTTGTCTCTGGGGCCTCCCAACCTTTTACTATCTCCAACATTCTCAGTGTCTCTCCAATGATCACAATCTGATATCAGTCCAAATATACATAGAGTCTAGAAGGCAAGTTCAAATGTTAAAGGAGTGTGTTAGAGAAGAGAAGAACTTACCTGGTTTGCACTGTAGTTCGTGGCCATGATCCTGTGCTGTTTACACTTGTTGCCTGGCAACAGCAGAAGGCGGTCCTTCTGGGTCTACCTCCCAATCAGCAGAAGGTGGCTCCCTATTTCTTCCTTGGCTCATTACAGCTTCCATCCTTTTTCTCTAAGACTCGAGCGTCTTTTTATTTTAGAGATGTGAGGGATTGCATAAACATGAGAAAATTAGCTGAGTAGTGCCTTTCTCCTTTTTTTCTAGCATAACTTACTTTCGTTTCAAACTCCCAAGTTGTCCTTGACTCTCATCTTTAACCACTTAAACTGTAGAATCCCGAGGGTCGTTTTCACTGGGCAATGTGTCCTAATGTACCACAGACTGGAGAGCCAGAAACAGGAGCTCTTGTTCATTCAGCATGGGGACGTAGGAGCTCTATGGCCTTAAGGAACTGGTTTCACTTGAGTTAGTAGCATCTGACTCATTTGCTGTGGAAATAAAGAGCCTGCTTTTACAGGGTAATTGAGATAAAGTGTCTAGATAGTGTCATAGCATAGCAATAGAACACTGGCAGTTAGGGGAGGGTATAACTTGATTGGCTTTGGGATCCATGCTGGTGGACTGTAGCACAAGGCATGGCCTGGGGTGTCATCTATGTCTGGTCCCTTGTCCTTTCCTCTGTCTTATCCCTCACCTCTTCCTTTCCAGTTCCCTTGCACTGTCTCGGAGCTGTTAGGAGGTGACCTCCATCATGATGTTTCTGCCTTCTAGCTGCCTATGGGCTGAATCCCCCCAAATCACAAGCTAAATTAAACCTCTCCATTTAAGTTTGGGTGTTTGGGATTGTATGTCAGAGGGCAGAAAGCTAATACAACTGGTAAAATATTGTTTATAGGTCCCAATATTTTATTTTCTCAGAATAACAAAGGAACAGTATCTAAAAAGTGATTCAAGTTTGTTCCCGGGAGGAAAACTATATCCTGTCCTTGGTCCTTAAATGATTCCTCTCTCCATCATCTTCTAGAATCGCAGAGCCTTGGGACACAGTGTTGGCTGCTGGTAAGGTGAGGTGGGGTGGGGATGGCGAGATAAACCGAGAGGAAAGCAGCACGTTTACAGTGACGTGGATGTGCCAGGACCCAAGCCTAATATCAGCAGGACCGGGCAATCTCTCTCTGATTCATCCAAAGCATTATAATGCCTATTTCCTGAGGCAGTAAGGACAATTAACAAAGTGGAACTGCTTTGTCAATTATAAGGTGTCAAAAGGAAAATACTAAGAAATAAGGTTGTAGCTGGGCAGGTGGTCCCTACCTATAATCCCAGCTCTCTGGGAGGCTGAGGCAGGAGGATCACAAATTTAAGCCCAGCTTAGGCAACTTAGTGTCACCTTATCTCAAGATTAGAAGGTGGGGGGAGAGAAAAGGAAGGAAAGGAGAAGGGGAGAGAGGGAAGATGGAAGGGTAAAAAAGAGGAAGGAAGGCAGGTGGAGGGAGACCTGGAGATGTAGCTCAACATAAAGGCTTTGGGTTCAGTCCCCAATAACACAAAAAAAAAATTGGGCAAAAAAAAAAATGATACTAAGAGATAGCTGGAGTAACAGGTATACACCACCACACCTGGTTTTAACCTAAGAGGCTATTTTTTTTTGTTGGGGGGGGTACCAGGAATTGTTAACCTTCTAATAAAATGTATTAGTCACTTTCCTGTGGCTGCAACAAAATACCTGACACCTGCAACTTAAAGAAAGAAACTTATTTTGGCTTACAGTTTCAGTGTGTTCTATTGATGGCTGGCAGAACTACATGGCAGGGAAAGCTGTTCACCATATGGTGGCCTGGAGCAGAGAGAAAAGGGAGGAGCCAGGGACAAGAGCATAGCCTTCTGGGTTGCACCACCTCCTGTCAGACCCCACTGCTACAGGAACAGCACGTTTAGGGCCCCCATGATCCAAATACCCTTTGCATCCTGCAACTCTAGAGGGCATTTTAGGTCTAGAACACGACATAAAAGGTATTGAATTTTAGCCTTTCTTCAAATGAAGTGGTTGATTTCAGGTGACTAGCATCAGATTTAATTCTTCCAAAGTTCGAAGGGCTCATTAAGGTCCCATCTCAAAAATGAGCCTTGACATGTTTTCATCACTTGCTTCTGATGCCTCAAGTTGGACCACTAGGAAATCTTTAGTGTAGGTTGTGATTACCACCATGGAAGTGCACTCTACCGTCCATTTATAGGCCGTGTATCCACTGGACCTAAGCGAAGCAACCACAGCAGAAGTCCTGGAGTCATATTGCCTAGGAAATGCTGGCTCTACCTTAAATGGGAGAACGTGAACAAGTTAATCTTTCTGGGCCCTTTATATGTGAAATGAAGATAATCTTTTTGAGCTTTAAATATATACAAAACACCTACTATGGTGCCTGATATATTGTGAGTGCTCAATAATTTTAGCATTGTTATTGACTTGTGATGGTCTGGTAAGAAAAACCTATTCAGTTTGCCTGAGGCGGGGGTGTTATAAAGTTATGGGAGGACTTCACATTCCAAAAGTAGTACGCTTTGGGCCTGAAAAGATACAAAGAAAGATCTGGTAGGTGGCCTTTCTTTTTTTCAATCATCTCCTTTTCACTGCAGTCATTTTTTTTTTTTTGTACCAGGGATCAAACTTGGGTCCTTGTGCTTGCAAGGTAGGCGGTGGCACCAGTGAGCTAAATCCCCGGCTCACACTGCGGTCATTCTCATTGCTCTGCAAGCCAGCCAAGATGATTGGCTCCCAAGTTGAGCACCACTGAGCTGTGACAATCCAGAGAGTCTGACTAATAGGAGAGAATAGAAAGAACAAAGTTTTCCTGCTCTTTCTTGTTCTGACTTAGAAGTCTTTAAAATAATAATCATGATAAGAGCCAGGCGTGGTGTCAGACACCTGTAATTCTAGCACTTGGGAGGCTGAGGCAGGAGGATCACTATGAGTTCGAGGCCAGCCTGGAGTTCACAGCGAGATTATGTCTCCAAAAAAAAAATTATGAAGTCGAGGGTGTGTGCGTATTGAAAGATGTTTCCAAGTTGCCTTCCACAGAGGTTTTCCTGCCCAGCCATGTAGTTCTCTGGCAGACCTCGAAGCCTTGTTAGATTGATTCATGCCCCAACTTTTCTGCTTTCATCCCGCACAACTTCCCAGATATTAAAAACACTAACTATGCTAGCTTGTCTAACAAACTTTTGTGAATTCAAATTTTTGTATTGTTAGATAAACTTCCATAGTGCTTTCTAATATGTAAGAGCCAAAGGTTACCAACTCAAACTTTTTTGCGGGGGGTTACCAAGGATCAAACTCAGAACCTTGTACTTGGGAGGCAGGTGGCAGCTGCACTGAGCTGAATCCCTGGCCCACAACTCAAACTTTTAATGTGCTTTGCTTCTCACGGCACATTTTTAAACCAGAAAAATGACGAGTACCTATTAATAAAGACTCAGACGTCTCTTGCACAGTTTGACCTCCTGGGTAACTGCCCACAAGAAAGCCATCAGCTCTCCAGGTTTCTTCCCAGGGCTCCTATGAGGTGCCCTGCCTGGTACCTCCCAGTGTGTGGGGCAGTGATCCGTGCTGGGTTGGGGACCTGGCTTTTGTCTTTTTCTTGGATGCAATCTCATCCAACCAAGCTGCTGGCTCAATTCTGAACTATTCATACACCTGGCTTTTGTAATTTCCTCATCGGATCTGAAACCACAGTGCTGTACACGGTCAGCCTGGGAGAGATGCGTGGCTAAAAATATAAAAGTTCTCTTTAAACAGCTAAGCTCATTTTCTTTCCTGAGACTAAGGCTCCCTCTAACGGAGATTGCTGTTACATCTCCCTGCAGCCCTTAGGTAACGCAAAAGAATTCTATTTTTTCAGTGCTTTTTCAAAATTAGTGTGTATTCATTTTACAAATACTGGATTTCAATGTGTATATTTTGGTGATATCCCTACCCTATTACCCTCCATAATAGTCCCATCCCCCTATTCCCTTTTATCTCATTATAATCTTCCTACTTTAAAAAAATTGTCATTTTTAAACTGATGCATAGAAATTGTACATATTAATGGCGTACCATGTGATGTTCTCATACATACATATGAGGTGTGGTCAAAATATATGGTGAATGTTTACATTTTAAAAATTTATTCAGCCAGGGATAGTGGTGCACACCTGTAATGCCAGCACTCAGGAGGCTGAGCCAGGAAGATTGCCGCAAGTTCAAAGGCCAGTCTCTACTACACAGCAAGACCCTGTCTCAACCCGCCCCTGAAACCATTTCAGTAAAGACACAGTACCATTAATCTACTTCAAAATGCTACCCCTTCTCGTTGAACACACTTATTCCGACATTCTTGTCACTTTCGGAAAAGTCTAGAAGTCCTCTGTCATGAACGTTTTTTCCTGGATGCTTCAATGTCCTGAGTCAATTAAAAATGGTAATGGTAATTTCCATCAAATAAAAACATAGCGGAGTGTCCTCGTCTACCTTATTCACCAGATCTGGCACCATGCAAATTCTGGCTCTTCCCTCAAAGTCAAATGGTCATTAAAGGTAAACATTTTAAATAGATTCAGCCATGAGGGTGCAACTGAAGACACTTACAAAAGAGGGCTTTCAGAACTTCTTCAGAAAGTGGCAAGAATGATAGCATTAGTATGTTCCAAGTGAGGAAAAGTATTTTGAAGGGGATTAATGCTGATATGTCTTTTACTGTGATAATTTTAAAAAATTTAACATTCATCATATATTTTGATCACAACTTGTACATCTTAATGTTCAAATTAGGTAAAACATTTATCTTTGTTTTATATTTTTCCTTTGTTATTAGTGCTTATTAATTTTACAAAATAGTAGGTTTCCATGCACATTCCCTCCTATTTTTATGTCATCTTTCTTAGATTTCATATACTGTATTAGGAAGAACATCTACTACTTGTGTTTCTGAATCTGGATTACTTTACTTAACATGATCTTCAGTTCCTTCCATTTTCCTACAAATGACAACATTTTGTTCTTCCTTACAGCTAACACTCCTTTGTGTATGTTCTAAATTTTGTTTACTCATTTCTCTGTTATACGCTCC